ATGATGAAGGAACTGACCTCCCTGCCCATTGTTCCTTCAGTGGTGCTAGTTTCAGTCATTGTGCAAATGTACTGTTTATAAGATTGGAACAGTCTCAGCTGCAGTCAGCTGAGACTGATGAAGTCACTTGGATAAGTGACGAAACGTTTCTCCCACTGAAAACGCTTCGTCCAGATGAACAGAATCAACTTTTGGAGGGTCAGTCATTTAGTGGAACATAATTTCTAATTAAGACTAAACTGAGAAATTCATCAAACAGTTGAAAGTTCAAGTTCAGCCTGTTGATCTGCAGTTTTCTTCATGCACTATTTTCCTCATCTCATTCAAAAGCAAAACTCGCTGCTCTCATTCTCTGCCCTGTTCTCCAAGCAAATCACTCCACAGTCAGTGTTTTTGAAAGAACTTTGAATGAAGAGCCTGGGGTTTCACACTGGTAGTAATACGCTCCAGGATCCAATCACCTGTCATTACAATCACACAAGTAGGAGGCAAATAGGTGTATACAAGGCTAGAGGAGGTGGTTTCTGTAGCAACAGACATCCCCGTCTATCCTGTAAGCTCAGGCTGGTGAAGAAAGTGGCTCTTTAGTGAACTTACTACTCCAAGTCACACTTTTATGTGTGACTAAAGCTGTATCAGTCATCAGTGCAAGCACAGAATTTATAACTCAAGAAGAAGAGAGAACAGGCAGATGAAGCGTGGAGCTAATACTTTTTTTAGGTTTCAAAATGAATTATTATGACTGAAGCAGAAGCTGTAGCAAAGGTTGGTCCATTTTTTCTTAAATAACCAAGCCCGTTTTTCTTTTCTACTTTATAATTATAGGAAAACGTCTACATCATTTTGCAGAGGCTTTCATTTAAGTCTGCAGGGCTTGGAGTTCTGGGTCAAACCTTGCATATACATATAAGTCATGTTGAACTGCAGTAATTAAAGCTAACAGTGCTAACTGTGTTATACTGTTATAAACACACACACACACACACCTTGGAGAGCAGGTGCTCAGGCAGAGGCTTGCGTGTCATCCAGGGGTCCATGGAGTAGAGCTTTGGGTCGCGTTCCGACAGCTCTATGCGTCGTGGGGTCAGCAGCTTCCTGCGTGTGAACTCCAGCTCGTCGTCATGGACGTTGCTGACATCGGTTACGTCGTAGCCAATCAGGTAGTTCAGGTAGCGCTGGTACTCCACAGACTCCTGTGAGGGCTGTGGGCGGGGCACTAGCTGAATCCGCCCCACATCCTTCTTCAGAGCTTTTGAAAC